TTCTGGCTCCCCGTTTCAGAGGATTTGATGGTCAGCAGGTCTTTCCATTCCTTATTCTACTTTCCTTTTTCTACAGTCTCTCTATTCCCTTCCATGTCCATGCAATCATGCCATCAGGCGGTGAAACGTGGGCACGCAACTGGGCAGCTTTGCTGGCTACGAAAACGCCAGAAGGGGCATACAGCTTTCTCAAAGTCTTTACCAAGGGTCACCCTGGGTCTTCTGATGAACCAAAGACCGGAAAGGCCGGAAAGGGGCCAGGCCCGGCTCAAGTCAAGCACAAGAAGCGAAAGAGAGGCGGGGCTGGGGCCGAGGCTGAGCCTGGGGTTGATGATGATGAGGATGACCAGGATGCGGCTGATGAGGATGAGGCGGCGGGGAAGCTGTCTATTGAAGACTTTAAGTCCTTCGATCTGGATTACTTGCTCTACGCTGGCACAAAGCCAATTGAGGCGTCGGCTGACTACAAGCAATTGTTTGATGCTGGTGGTCGGGTGTCAGCACTCGGGTTGAAAATGATGGAGTCGCGCATTGAGATCTTCCTCTTGGACTGGGTTTGGGGTTTGGGATGTGAATGAGCAATGAATAATAAGTACTAAATGGATTGATTGTGATTGCATATATGTGGGTTCAGTGGGTTGGGTTAGTTGGGTTGGGTTGGGTTGGAGTCGGAGGTTGGGCAAGTAAGTAACAATATAAGTACACTCTAAAAGACCCCGGACTCAACTTCAACTCAGTGGCGGGACTGATGGACCATGGGGCCAATGGACCAATGGACTAAATATGGGGGCACGACACGCGATGTAGCTGTCTCTGATGTCTCTGTTTGTCTGGCAGGAGCACTTCATGACAAGTGCCAAGCACACTAGTAAGCATGTGCGCTTGAATTTTGGCGATCCGGAAGAAGAGGCGCAGGCTTATGGTAGTGGCGACAGGCAAAAGCTGTCGAAAGTCACCAAGAAGGTGCAAACCGAGCGGCTCCTTCTTGCAAATGTCCAGGAGATCCTCAAAGACGATACTTTGAGAATGCAGATCATGCTTCCTTTTCTTGACAACGTTTCAACACTCAAGGGGGCTCAGGGCTTCGAGATTTGCCGACTGTTCGATGTTCCTTTCTATGTGAATCCTCCACCAGCTCCAAATGCAACCACAGCTACCATTGTGCCTGCTTGGTTGGTTGGAACTACAAACAAGATGGAGAAGGCATCCATGGAAGAGACCGACATCAACGTCTACGCTGTAGCTTGGATGAGCTTTGGAATTTTTGAATCTGAGGACATTGCTATTGTTATTGTTACTTTCACTGTGGTCAATCTGGCTCGCGCTGCTCCCTGTTTCAGTTTCAAGTTGTCAAGGTCTTGACAGAGAGATTGGAGATTCAGTACTCGCCTCAAGACGGAGGTCCTGAGACGTCTTTGAAGACTATCAATTTCAACTTCAAAATCAAAGTGTCCCTTGGAACATTGTGTATCATTTTGTTGGTTTGGTCTGCTGCTACTTTTTGTTTGTAGGTATTGACCTGATTGGCATGATTGGTTCCATGTCATTTGCGAACGATTGACATCGCGACATTGAACAAAACATAATATGATCAGATCTCTGAAGGGACAATGGACAATACCAACTTACTAAGGCTGGCCCCTATCAGGTCCTTCTTAAACGCGATCACCGAAGCCGATGCTGAAGTTCCTTTGCTCAAGTTTGTGAAGAGCGGCAAAGGTGCACGCAAGGGAGCCGCGGCTAGCTCAGATACTTCAACTCCGGTCGGATACGCAGCAGCTTTGAAGTCAAGGACTGAATTCATGGATTCTGCCGGGCTACTCACATCTTTGCCGACATTGAGCAAGGAAGAGAAGAAAGCGGAGAAGGAACGCAAAAAGGCTCTTACCAATGCCAAGCACTTGATGAAGTAGTTTGGCAATTTCCAAGTGGTAGCAGCTGCAGCAGTGATTGCATCGCTTGTGGCTAAGCTGTGAAAGCGAGCAGTGGCAGCGGGCGCAGTTGTGAAGTGAGGCAATGATGCAATGTGTGTTGACAAGATGAAGCTCTTGTCCTAATTCGCTTTGTCCGTCCATCCATCCATCGGGGCTTAGTTCATTGCGTTAAATGTGTTCCTTTTTCTACCAATGAAATCATATGGCATATTGCATATATAAAAAACAGTATGTTATGTTATGGTACCACAAGCCAGAACCAACCGGGTTGGAATGCAATGCTTAGACATTAGACGCCAAACTTTGGCAGGAATTCCTCAGGGAAGGATGGATGTAGCCATACAGTTGCCATACACAACCAATTTGAAGTTGCGCATTGGCCGAAGCCTATGTCCTTTGCAAGGTCGCCGTCAGGTTTTGTGTCTTGTGTTCAACCAACATAGCATTTAATTTAATTTAAGTCATTTCTATGTCAACGGTGGTTCCTACAGTAAACTCTCAGACTCTCATTGTTATTTTTGCTGTGTCAGTGAGGCTTTCAGTGACCTCACTGACTGTCACTGGGCCCTTGATCCGGAAGTTGTCTTTTTTTGCGACCATTAGGCAAAAACCCACCCAGCCAAACACGCTGTGGAAAAGAAAACAACGTGCCGCGGCACTTGGCACCGCTTTCAGCATGCGTCCACTGATCAAGTGGACAAAGATTATGAATTGCCAATTCTAAAACAAACAATTGCTTTACCGCTTAGATGCTCGGACGCCGATTGAGGTCTGCTGCGGCTGCTACTCCTGAAATGTGAACGGGGTAACGGGGATCGCCAAGTTCGCGCTTGGGAGAAAGGAAAATATGTGTGAGGGAGGGAAACGTGCACTTTGGACCCTGGCAGCAGCACGTAGGCATTTCCAGTGGAGCCAGGTTGCCGCTCAATACGATGGAAGGATGATACACAAGTTCTTCTGGACAGATACTTTTTTTTAAGGGGACAAGGAACGTACAACTCCTTGACTTTCCGAATTGCGAGTTCCTTTTTTGAACTCTCATGTGTGTTTTCCAGGCGTCTCCGGATGTTTTTGAAAAAATATTTACAGGCAGCTTGTTTTTTTGACAAACGACCACTGGAGGTGGCACAGCCATGTTTGGGTAACAGTCACAACGGGAATCGAAAATCATCGTCGCCGTAAGCAAGGCAGGCGCCAGGAAGTGGCGCAACCTCCGATTTCCGGCGCTATGTTTTCAGCTTCGCCCCATAGTCTAATTCCGCACGTCCCTACTGAAGGCCCAAATTCCTGGCCAATTTTCTGTTCTTTTTTGCCTTTTGGCAAGGCTCATTCTGGACTCATTCTCTTTGCTGCAATCTTCTGCCTTTTGGCAAGGCTTCTCCTTGCTCTCCTCTGCCATTGGAACAGGCCGCTCCTGTTTGGCTTCTGCCTTTTGCCAAGGCTTCTCTTCTGTTGCCTGCTTCCTTGCCTTCTTCCCTTTTGTTCATCTGCCATGACTTGGCTTCCTCCTCTTCTCTCTGCCTGGAATCTTGCCTCTTCTGCTTGTTTGGCGATGGACTTTGCCTTTGAGGCTTCTTTCTGCTCCTTCAGCTTCATCATTGCTGCATCACCTTCAGCAGCCAGCCTGTCTCTCTCCTGGGTTTCTGCCCTGATCCTTTCCCTTCACTTTGTGGTAGTTCCACTCCCAGCTGGCCTACCAGCTTTGTTGCAGGCAGCTGACTCTTTCCGGGAAACCCATTGCCAGGGCATGCTTTTGTCCAAGCTTGAGCTTTTGCCAAGCACTCAAGCCTGGACAAGCCAGGCTTTTGTCAAGCCAACCAGGTGCAAAAAAACAAGTGTTTGCTAGCTAAGTTTCTCGAGCCAAAAAGTCGACACAAAACAACATGCACAAAAACACAAAACAGCACCGTTCAGTTCACAACTTGATACAAATAGCCAGTTCCTTTGGTTTATTGTTGTGATTACAACAGGACCCCCTATCAGCACTGGAAACCTTCCACCCCCCAAACCTTGATGGAAACGCTTTTTTCTCAATGATCAAGGGTGCTTTTGTCTAGCAGCCAAAGCTGCCAATGCCTAAATAACCAAGCCAATCTTTGATTCAATAGAAAGGCTTGTGCAAAATATTAAAAAACACTCCCTTTTGTCAAGCTGCAGGTTGTGGTGGTCTTGCTTTTGTCAAGCAAGACGTTTGTGGCTGGTCTTCGTACCACAAAGTACTTTTGGTTTTGCGCCTTAGCACGGCCCAGTCCTTAGGTCCAGGGCTCACTCCTTAGGTCCAGGGCCTTTCTTTTCCACCTCTGGTAGTGGATTGACTGAATGATCCTTTGGTAGTGAAGAGACCAAGTTTCTTTGTCACTTCCACGAGAAGCTTGAATGGATCACCAGGCCGTTCAAGGGCTGTGATGTAGGCCCTTTCTGGCTTCTGGGAATATGTTAACTGTTATCTTAAGCCTGTGCCACTTGCCACTCTTTGGTCTCTTGGTGATGTTTTCTTTACCTTTTTTCAAGGGTGCTTTTGCCAGGCTGGAAGTCTTGCTTGTTGCCTTGCCACTGGCTGATAGTGTTTTCTTTCTGATTCCTTTCCCTTGGTGCTATCTTTGGCTTGCCGTTTTTCAAGGCTTTCAAGCCCATGGCTTCTGCCAAGACATCATCATGGCTCTTTGCTTTCCAGTTTGTAGGACTCCTTCTGCCTGTCCTTCTCCTCAAGTGTTGTTGCTGTCAGGGCTTCCTTTTGTCAAGGGTTTCTCTTTGGTGGATGGGGTCAACAGCTCTTTTGGGTAGCCATCTTCATCTAATGATACCTCATCTATGCTTCTTTTCTTTGGTTCCTTCTTTTGCTCAGCTTCCTTGTCAACCATCATATCAACTAGGCTTTGCAGCCTCATGAATGTGCCAACAATGTGCAGATCCTTTCTTGTCGCATATTGGCCCACCTCTCCCTTGAATTCTGAATTGTTCACTGATGGTGTGTTTATACACATTTTCAATAATGCTAATCTCAAATCACAAGAGTGTACTTCACAGGTGCTTGCCACCTCGAAAAACTCCGCACGTTCCTCTTAGGCATGTGCACGGGCGGATCTTAGATCAGAGACGCCGCAGAAAAGAGGCCGACCGTCAGCACACCGTCGGATGGACATGAGTGTGGGGCGTGGCATGAAGATGGAACCAAATGGACGGGACCCCTCCATTTGGATTCATTTGGTGGGTTTATTGATTTGGTCAGGATACAAACTCAGTGAGCTGGCAGATGACGGACATGGTGGCTAGGTAGACTGGCGACCCTAGGTGAGTGCCTGTGAGTTGTTGGGGGAATGATTCTTTGGAATCTGATGAGCAAGGGCAGCAAGGGAAGGGTGTTATAATGTCATCCCACATGAGCACCACATGAGATCAAATGAGCCTGTACACTGTACTTGGTCATTCAACGAGTCGCGCAGTGATATATGTGTGGCTAGTCCTCGGGAAAAAAAACTAAAGAACCTTTAGTGTTTGGGAACATGTCAGGGCGACACTAAGGTCACAGACATTGGGAGTTTGTTTTTGTTTTCGTGTGTGTTCTATTTTTCACGAAAGGTAGCCCTTTAGGGGATACCTTGAGTTTGTCTTGCGAAGCAAGTGTTGGGACGTCCGGGTCTAATAATTGATC